GTGATAATTCTTATACAACTTATACTATTTCAAGGTATTTACTTGATTTAAATTTAAATGTTCTAGATACACTCAAACTGAATATCAAGACTGTAACAAAGATGTAATGTGGTAGAATACTGTTGAAGATCACCAGACAATCAAATTTAAATTTATAGCCTCTTTTTTATTTGCATGTTCCGTATTAACTATGAATGTAACATCGGATGACATTATGATGTAGGGCCTACACAACTTAGTATAGATCGGTTGAAGATGACGTCTAAAATCTAAAAGCATCACATGAAGATGGAACTTGAATTTGACTGACAAACATCTAATGATCACACATAGAGAAATAAAGCAAGTACTGTATACCTATAGTAATTAGACAGGAGAAGTGATCAATTAAGTTTTTTGACCATTCTGGGGAAGTAACAACTATGAATTACTCTGTAAGTAAAAATTACTGGTCTACAAAAATAAATTTTCTCAAAAAATAATTTACATGTCCAAGACTGGAAAATCCTTAAAGAAAGTCAAAAATATATAATACTGTATATTTTAAGAATTGATAAAAATCTAAGATTTAAACAAATTAAATACAAACATTACCATGGGAACCTTCAAAGCCATGATTTTCAACAGAAAATAAAGCCTGTTCTGGCCAATCCAACGATAATGTTCTTTCTTCGTCCGTATCTAATTTGGTAACCAAACATATTGTCATCATCATTATCATGATTACGCAAAACTGATTTTACTACAAGATGTACATTGTATATAGTAATAACATAGTGACTTCCATTTCACACTGTGGTTAAACCAAAACCAATACATATTTTTTAAGGACAGCAATTTTCCCATGCAACCAACAGAAATTTAAAATGTGTCAATTTGGATACTTTAGGTGCTACTATGCAAATGACAGGAATACCAAAAACAGTGTGGTATGATACTTGTACAGCCACGATAGTAGTTTAATAAAATAACTATCAATAATGCTATAGTAATAATTTACACAAAAGCTAATAATAATAATAATGAACAGAATAACTGTTAAAATCGTTTATTAATAATTTTAGCATTTCAAGTGCTATGCAAATTAAAGGAATGCCATTTCCCGCTAATATTTTTTTTTTAAATGTAGATACGAGCTTGCATGGCAAATGAAGTTATAAAGTTTAATAATATTAAATTAATAATATATTTAATAAAAATCACAATTAAATATATTAAGGTAATAAATGTAATACACCTATTCCAGATGCCATGCAAATTGAAAGTATGCCATTTGCTGCTAATTTTTAAAAAAATGTAGATAGGTGCTTGCGTGGCAAATGAAGTTATAAAGTTTAATAATATTAAATTAATAATATATTTAATAAAAATCACAATTAAATATATTAAGGTAATAAATGTAATACACCTATTCCAGATGCCATGCAAATTGAAAGTATGTCATTTTAAGTAATTATTTAAGTAATAATAATTTTAGTATTCCAAGTGCTATGCATATTAAAGGAATGCCATTTCCTGCTAATTTAAAAAAAATGTAGATAGGTGCTTGCATGGCAAATGTAGTTATAAAGTTTAATAATAATATTAAATTAATAATATATTTAATAATAATCACAATTAAATATATTAAGGTAATAAATGTGATACACCTATTCCAAATGCTATGCATATTGAAAGTATGACAGTTTAAGTAATTATTTAAGTAATAATAATTATAGTATTTCAATTGCTATGCAAATTAAAGGAATGCCATTTCCTGCTAATATTTAAAAAAATGTAGATAGGTGCTTGCATGGCAAATGTAGTTATAAAGTTTAATAATATTAAATTAATAATATATTTAATAATAAAAATCATAATTAAATATATTAAGGTAATAATGTAATACACCTATTCCAGATGCTATGCAAATTGAAAATATGCCATTTTAAGTAATTATATTAATAAAAATTAAAAAATACTTTTCTTACAACAATGAGAAAAAACATATAGACATCAATCATTGTCTACTGACTATAAAGAACACTGATTATCAGTAAATATATTATTGCAAGAAAGTATATTTATATTAATATTGAATATAAATGTAACTAAGTTTTCTAGTTAAGAGTACTAGTAATACAGTAATATCAGTAAAAATATTTGTAATTATTTGTAGTAAAGCACTATAAAACTATTAAACAAAAAGAGTACATTTTTAACAGAAAAAAATGCTAAGCAGAGCAAATCTAAACTTGAGTATGCTTATTGTATTAAGAAGAGCAGAATATCAAGAAAGTCAGCTAATGCAGATTTGTGATAACTTCAAAAAAACGATCAAGATATTAATGAAAACAAAGTCTTCCAATTCAGAATAAAAATTTTAAAGTGTCAAAGAGTATTTTGTTCCATTTACAGTAATGTCCATATAGTTGGTATGTTAAACACACTACAGTATACAAATAATATGTTTTTGTTTTTAGAACTATAAAGTAGGAACCATTAGATTATGGCAAAAACAAGCCAAGCCAGTAGTGACTCGTCGCAACAAAATTTCTCTATCATTCTATCCCTTGGCTTGATGGTACTCGCCTCCCAAATACCAGGGTCCTAGGTTTGAATCATGGTTGAATCATGTGATACCAGGACCTGTTGTGATGGGAAGTATCGATCATGGTCTGATGACATAACATGCATTTTGCAAAATCCATATTTGTGGAAAATTGTGTTCAATCATAAATAAAAAGAAAGCAACACTGAACTAAAGACCAAGAAAAAATTTATTCAATGATCATATATATATTTTATAATAATGAGAAAAAATGTTAGTAAATCTTTGTTTACCGACAGAAAAATAATTAAAAGTAAAGATAAACTTGTGCATTTTTATATTGATCTAGAACAATAAATATAGATATAAGCCTGGTTCACGTCGAACTTTTATCTAGATATACATCCACCTAACTAGTTAAAAGTTCGACGTGAACCACTCAATTATAGCTAGATAAAAGGCTTAAGTGACTTAAGTTAAGTGACTTAACTTTACTAGAATAACGGTAAATTAACTTGCTTAACGGTAAAGTCGGCTCGGATTACAAGGACACGATTACGTAACGTAGGCATCTAAGCCAGTGTTGTTGTATTGTACCACCATATCATCTTCTGGCTGGCAACAACGTACTCCAACAATGCTAACAACAGCATCGAAGTAGTCTCATTAGTCTGGTTTTCAGAAATTATTTGTAATATTATGGGTAAAAACCAAGCAAACGTCCGTTTTACGAATAGTCGACATTACCAATGACCTTTGCCCTTTGCATCATCGACCAAGTAATAACGTTAAAAAGTCCGATTGCGTACATTTTTCAAAGTGATAATGTGTATTTTTCTTAATAATAAAATCAGATTTGTTGTATTTATTTATTGACAATTCAATCTTTTCCATTTCTGCTCAATAGTCGCTATTAATTCAGTTTCAACGAACTACCACCAACGCCAGTCGTTAAAATGAGTGCACATGTTTACGATGATGAAATAAAAAAGTGTGTGGAAGTCAGCAACTTATTTGACACCGCGAAGCTAGATTTTCGCGAAGTGCATTTAAACAACACAATTGAGCGATCTAAACACTACAAAACAGGACAGAAAGGTCCATAAAGTATACAGACGTTTTAATGAAAATTAAAACAATATTTTATTAAATGGAAGAATGCTAGTTAGCGATTAAAATAATTTGTTTTTTATCGAAGGTAAATTTAGATAGGGCCTAGAGAATCTACTATAATACTTAGATTGCGATAGAACACGCTGCTACACTGGTCGGCTAGGTTAGGTAGTGGAAACTCACTTTCTCTACAGTAGTTTACAATACAGTAGATGTTTTATTAAACAAGCCTTTCCTCCGTGTGACGTCGGTGGCCTGAAACTGGCTGGCTGTTTATCTGGCTCTAACTTGGCATCGAACGCAATTAGGGGATTATCGTATCATGTTTCAAGACGGGTATATCTAGATAAAGTTCGACGTGAACCAGGCTATATACATAATTAAACATAAACAACTTAATATTCTAATATTATAACATGCTAATTAGATTAATACTCAGTGCTAAAATGACTAATATGCTAATTACATTATCATTTAAAAAAAATAATAATGCACACTCTAGCCAGAATATGAAAAATGAAGATTATACTCTTGACTTTAAAATGGTATATTTGAACAAAATAATAAATACAATAAAAATATAATAAATAATATAAGGTTTTGAGGAATTGAATTTTGTATTTATTTGATCAGTCGAATAAAATATAAGCAGCCAAGAATATACTAATACTTTAAAAATGCAGAAAGTGTAAATAGTGCAATAAACTAGTGTTGTTTTGCAAGCCCCATGCCTCTCTTTCAAATGTTGAGGCCAGTGCGTAAAGTAGGCGTTCCCATCACCAGGGATAAGCAACAAGCGAACGGATTTTGCAGAAAAACAGCTAACGAAAACAGTAATATTATTTATATTTATCAAAGCTTTTTTTTGTAAATATATATTTTTGAATAATATCAACTTGTATAATGTGCACATTAAAACATGTTTGAATAGTTTAGCCAGTCGTTTTAAAAAGCTTTGGACTTACGTCGGGACTCCAGTCCATCCCACGTTAGCACTCTGGAATTTAAGCACACTTCGTAGGGTTTTCCGTCGATGTTAAGATCTGCGTTTAGTGATTCTAGCTCCATAATATCGAAAGAAACCATCCATCATAAATTCTCTGCAACGTTCTGAATTTTCAATTGCTCATTGTTTTCTCTGTTACATAACTTTCACACTGAAAATGAACGTTTCAACGCAGATTTCTTTCCTTCGAACTACTCTTTAGCAGACTTACTCTTGTGAATGTGATGCTCTTCTGTTTGTTTTGTTTTTGGCAAATCCCAGGAGTCGTGTCGACAGCCTGGCCAATCGCAGTGCGCAGTATTACTACCTAGCTGAGTACCTAAAATACATAGACATCTAATATATTTTTAGTAACACAATATACAACTTAGTAATACAAATTATATTAATTAAAATAATTAATAATATTTCAGCTATATTATATGAAATATAAACATAATCTAACAAAAATTTACATATAAAATTGTTAGCTTAGGTGGTCAAATGCGACGTAATCATGGTGGTGTGGAACGACAGTGCGTGATCTTACTTCTTCACGATACGATAGGGATTTAAACGTAAATTTCTGAATTGTAGGTTTGTTTACTAATGATTTTACTATGGCAAACGCAGAAAAAAAGACAAGCGCAATAGGTGGTGGCTTTGGCAATATAAGTGAACCTAAGAAGAAAACATACTGGAAGAAAGGAGCAGATAAAGTTCCAGGAAGGTAATCAAATTTTATACAACGTAGGCCTAGGCCCATCTCTAGGCCTGTCTAGGTCTCAGGATAGGGGTGTAGCACCGCGGTAGATTGCGGCAGTACGTATGGTAGTCCAGACGGATCGTCCGGGCTACCATGGAATTACACTGCTGCAGCCTATTATTAATATTATTATTACCGTTCGGTGTTACCACGGGTGGGCGATTTCGTTGTCATTAAGCCTAGTATCAGTCATCAGGTGGCCCTAGGCCTAGGCCTAAATTGAGAACATGTTAGGCCTAGTGTACGTTTTACGACCTGCAAACAATGAAAAGAACAACAATAACAACAATTGTTGTGTGAATGACCGTTTCTTAATTATGAAAGTATGAGGCTTATCTATTCTTAGTTAGTTTGTGTACAGAACTTTTTTAGAAAATGCATTATATAAGTAGCGATGTTTTTGTGCAATTTGTGTGGTAGCTTGGCCAAATAATCAATAATGAAGAAGCTAAAAATTATTGTTGTTAAATATGGTGTAGGATTCCTGTACATTTGATTATCAAAGGCGATTAGGCCTACAGTAGCCTAGTACAAAAATTAGTAGTACACAAGCAGAGTAATACTTTTTTATTTTTTTTTAAATTCATAATATTTATTTATTCCAAAAAAATAAAACAGTCTAACTACCTAGGCCTAGGCCTACATACCTACTATCTATGTAGTTAATATAATTTGGCAAATAATCTATGATGCAATATTAAAATTCTATTGTAATTACTATGGAAAAAAAAAATTCTCAAAAATTCTTTTTAGCCTAGCACTGTATCCATACGGAAAACCTGCAAAAAACAAGGAAGCCGATCATAGCTTGACATGGTCTTACTGAAAGGCGCATACCACACTGCACACCGCTGCACTTACCATCGCAAATCAGTGCATATTTTTATAGTGAAAATTTTTATTATTTCTGAGTATCTAATAATGATAATTAGATTGTAAATTACTTTACAGCCATAGTTTTGAAATTATAATGTTTTATTTTCATCTGCAATAAACAACAGCAACAGCCACAAGTTCATCACTTTACATACATTGACTGGAACATTCTACTGAGGTCAGCATATTGCGAAGATTGCCATCATTCTGAACAACAAGCCATGACAACAATGACATGAAAACTTCCAAGAATATGACTTAAATCAACAATCATTCATATTCAATATATATGGAAAATAAATACTGACTTACAGTGTTGTGAAGTGGTATACGCCTCTTGGTGAGACCGTTCAATGTCAACATCGATGAAACACTGCACTGCAAAATCTTTATTAATCGATTAATTTTACTGTAAACTTCGGGGTCATTCACAAATATCAATGTTTTCACAAATGTACAAACAGTAACTCTAGATTAATTGAATTTATTCGGTGTAAACACCAAGGATAGCCCACGAAAGTCTAGAAGACTTATTTCCAGTGGGGTCCTTCTGGTGGTAAATTGGGCAGTACACCGGGAGGCAATCCCCTACTCTTTTCCGAAGAGTGTACTGAGTTCTTTAACATGCACATGGGCCATAATGCACACAGGACCAACGGCTTAAACGTCTCATCCGAAAGACAGTGCGCTATTGTAGAGGGCTGAAATACAAGGAGAGGCAGCGATGGGAATTGAACCGGGGACCTAGAGGTCTCCACGGTTCAGCGCACACACAGTGGCTACCACCAGATTAGCCGACTGAGCTAAGCTGCTCATTACTGTTTGTATACTTGCAAACATGTTGATACAGTAATTGTGAACGACGCCGTAATTGTGATTGATCCAGGATGGTTTAATTTAACTTAAAAACATTTTCTTTTGTCTCCATTTTATTGATAGTGCCTTTTGCTTGGATGGAAGTGAAGTGTATGTCCAGTTGCTATTGTATTTTTATTATCTTTCACTATCATGAATGCAATAAAACTGTGTATCTTTTTTGCAATTTTTGTATTTATTGTATTGAAGCTGGTATAAGCTGGGTCCCACCAACTACCCTACTGTAGCTTCTGTTATAGAGGAAAAATCATTAATTTTAAATCTTATACCTGCATCAATATAGTAAATGTTTACCTTTCTATGCACAAAATAGAATCTGTAGTAGTATCTTTACTTGTACTGGGACTAGACCTATTTTATCATTAATTTTAATTCAAGACTCAGGCTACTATATCCATGTCATTAGCATGTCCTTTCTTTTAGTACTTCATCTATTAACTGTACAGTATACAAGAATGCAAACGTTATTTGTAAGTGAAGTTACTGTAATAAAAATAAGAAAATAAAGCTCTGTTTACACTAAAATGTTTGCTGTGACAAATGTCTATCAGTATTATTTGCCTATGATTACATATCACACCTACTGTACTTAAACTTGCTAGTGTGAACAGGGATTTTGACTGATTGATAATGACAATAGATTTAGCCATTTTCCAAAAGTGTACCAACTTTTTTTTTTTGGGGGGGGGGGGGGACCAACGACTTGAACATCCCATCAGAAGGACAAGTTAAGGGACCTTTGCTGAGTGTCGAACTTAACAACTGGCCAATCAGAACTAGGCAGGGGTGGATTTATCGGTGTTGGGTGGTCCGGCCCCTTTATTTCCCCCCCCCCACCTTTGGAAAGCAAAAAGAATGGAAAAAGGAAAAGAAAGAAAAAACGAAAAAATTGATTGCCCAAAGCACCTCGGAGATTATTTTCAGGCGTCTAGAACACCAAATTTTCACTGGACATGTCCTCGGACCCCTAGAGTAGTTTTATCTTGATCGGCCCCACTTTCGGACATCGCTGGATCCGCCCTGCTAGGCCAGAAATAGAGTATGCATGTGTTCCACAAACATACATATTTGCGTATAGTATGGCTTAACACAGTCCTTTAGTGGGACCTCAGCAACAAAATGATATGATATATCCACAGGGCTGGACTTATCTAAAAGGTCCATTAGAGCCATTGTCTACACCAGAGGACAATACGATATTGACTGATCTTAAGATTGCTCCGCCTTGCACCTAAGTCCAATCTCTGTAGTAATGCACCTTCCATAACAATTTTTATTAAAATACACTATTGACATACTCATGTGAAGAATCATATTCATACTGCAAATTGCCTGCAATGGTATTCACTATGTGAAATCACTAGCTGTTAATTGGAAAGAAAAGTATTTCCTTATTTTGTATTTAAGCTGGTAACTTCCTTCATTATGCAAAGTAATTTGAGTGTTGTAAATGAATTTTATTGTTTAAATTCATTAGCTCAATAGATAATAATTAATAGGTTTCATACTATTCTCTTAATTTATTCCTTTAATTTAATTACATAAAATTAATTGAATAATTAATAAACTACATTAGCAATATATTCAGTATGATACATTTACTTTAAATTAAAAAATGATTAATAGTACATTTCAATTTTATGCTTAGTACTTACTGTTTTAAAAGAAAATATATTATAATGAACAATTTAAATATATTTGCTATATAATTTATTTATAATCATTATTTGCATGTTTGCTCTGCCATGTTTTTTAATTTATGAAAAATTAACATGACGATAAAGCTAGCTAGTATCTCATTTCTCATTTAAAAGCACTTTAATCTTCCAAAAGCCATGCTCCTATAATCCACAAGAGTATATGGGCCACGCTGATGGAAATATAATGCTTCACTCGAGACGAAAAGTCTGTGCAGGCAACAAAAACCCAGCCATGTGTTATACTGTCATATCATAACATTGTATGAAATGTATTTTCCATTTAGTATGCGTCCAGTGTATAGTGCGAAGTATGGACCTGAAGAGATAGCTGCACAAACAAGGCTGCGGGACCACACATCTACCAAGAGCAAAAAGAAGAATAAAGATCCATTCACAGAGTTTGACCAAAAAATGGACGATGCATGGGACGTGAATGAAGATGAGATTAACACATTTGCTCATAGTAATCAAGCAGTACAGGAGAGTGGACGTCAGCAGATTGTGATTCAGCATGAGATACAAAATGAACGTGTTCACGATACAGAGCAAAATGTTACTGATATAACTAGTAAGTACAGTATTTTAGGTGAAGTGCTATACAATTTTGAATTTTATTAAATTGTATATTCCAGGATCTGTGGGTGCTACTTGTGGTGTCTTGGCTCAATGTTACCGTCATAGTCCTTGGGTTGATTGCGCCAGATAATGAAATTAAATAAATTATTTGGTAAACTGATGTTGTATGATATTTATTAAATAGTTTGTTCTTATTTGTCTCTAGCCTGGGGTCCCAAGTTGGAAGAAGTCAATTCCAAGGAGCTCTATTTAAAGGACACTTCTTTTTAGCACATCTAATTTGTTTTGCTGTTTTGATACCCATCAACACTGACTTCTGTGAGACAAATGATAATAAAGTAGTAAATACACTATTAAAATCATGCTGATTTATGGAGTTGGTTTATTTTCCGGGAGATTCTAGGCCGGGAGATTCTAGGCCGAGTGCGGGAAGCCATCCTGATTTCTGGGAGACTCCTCCATGACTTGTAGGAGACTTGGGGCCCCTGTACTGTATACTGTAGGTTGGCGTTCAAATCTCAGGATTTGCTCACTTCTAAAACCAACTCAACTATTTAAAATCCTCATAATGGCAAGTCACACATGGTTTATCAGAATGAAATAATTCAAAATAACAATTCTCCTTGCAACAAGCCAAATTTTCTGGTTCTTCAAATTCTATGATCACATTCTTTGATTTAAAGCTGATTTCAGCTGCTTATAGATGTGCTCTCTTGGGTGCTGGGGATGTACTTCATAGGCGTTTGATTCAATGATGTTATAATTTGCAAGTCGAATGGCCGAGTGGTTAAGGCAGGGGCCCACAATCTAAAGTACTATGAACCCAGTGTACATAATAGGGGGTTGTGTACTGGTCCATCTCACAGCCCCTGTCCTCATCCAGATGCTGAACAGGCATTGATGAGTTCAGCATTGATGAGTATCTACATAGAATATAATTAGAATACTGTAAACTGCATAAGAGCAGTTTGCTTTAAGGCACAATTTTAAGTAGCATATTTTACCTGATTTCTACTGTACTGTAATCACTTTCAACATACATTGAAATATATATGATTGTACTCGTATACCAGTATACTGTATCTATGTGTGTTTTAACAGTTATGAAAGTCAAATATTTAGAAGAAAACATTGACGAATATTAAATGTGTTTATACCTCATCAGATTCTAAGTCTCCAGTTACTTCACAAACCTCCATTGGTAGTAATGATGTAACCATTAATGAACCCAGGCCTACGAGTCCAATTAGAATGTCTTCAAAACCTGTAGCAGAAGTCGAGTTGACTAGACAACACAAGTTTGGCCTATTATTAGCTGGTCCAAACACTGATTTAGGTATGTACTTTCTTTGCATTTTATGTAATATTTTAAATATTTTAAGAATTTTATACCCAAATAACTATAGTGCTGTACAGACTGACTGTCACAACTGACTACAGTTAGTATTTTTTATAATCAAAATAAAAGTATTGAAAAAGCAACACAAGCATTAAATTTCTATCCTACCAGTTTCCTATAGACACTGACGCTTCTGCTTAATGTTCGCATACACTTGCAGTGATTCAGAGGAATTTGAATTATGGCTTGCTGTCCCAATCCTACTGTATTACTATTATTATTGTTATTTTTAATATTGCTATTACCTAATAGGCTAGTTCGAGTTTGTTCCAATAAATCCTGAATGAAGATCCTAACCTTTTTTCTATGTTGCTTTCTTTTAATTTCAGAGGAACTCCGTAAGTTAAGTTGGAAAGGAATACCAAAGCATGTAAGACCGATGACCTGGAAAATACTACTTGTGAGTTTTTGATTCCGAATCATTCATCTCTTAATGTGCAATATTCCTTGTTTTCTTTCCCTTATTATTTCCTTTATTTGTTTTTTTTTAATGAAAATTATTGACTTGCCTTCATATTATGAGGACATACGGGTTCATCACCTACAAATGCCAGATTTTTTTCTTATGACACAAAAACAACAACATAAACATCAATTTTCTATGACTTGTTCACTATTAATCATCAGTCTTTTAGTGGTAAAAAAGGTAATATACATTGAAATGAATTTGATAGCAAATAGCATGTTTTTTTAACATAAACAGAATCTTGCAGTAATAAATAATCAGTATAAAAACTATAAACATAGAAGTGAAGTGGAAAATTTTAAACTAAACACAGAATTATATTTGACATGCCTTTGCCAAAATCAACAATGATTTATCAGATGAAGCCACATTCATTGGGGCCAAAGTTTGCCAAAATTAAATAAAAGCTTGATTTAGTCAGGAAGTGACATGCTTTTGGCCAAGCAGAATAAATGGAATAGACCTTAAATTACAACATATTGCTGTCGTTTGTGTTTTTTGAAGCATAAACATGGTAAACCTATTTATGTATCAGTAAGAGACATTTAGTTTGTTACTTCCATTCATTATATATTCTGCAATAAAACACACGATGACAAAATTTTGGATACACAAATGTCAAAAGTGAGGTTAAACCACTCATGGGATTAAGGAAAACATATTAAGATCAGAAGTAATATTAGAGTTTAGTATTCTTTAATATTGAATATTAATTTGAGAGCCTTGTCAATCTATTTTTTGTCTACAAATACAATAAAGAGAGAAAACAAAATACTGTAATAGAATATTTATGATAGTGAAAAAAACATAATAGTAAATATCATAGTAAAATGTTTATTTATAAATATTGCATTCTAATTCAAGAGTTATTTTAATATTATAATAAAGATCTATTTCTGTGTATATTATTTTGTAAAGCAATTAAAGCAAAAATTAAAATAATGAAATATTTAAGTAATGATACTGTAGATATAAGAATTTTCCACAAAATTATACAAAAAAATTTAAGGGATAAAACAAACTATAGAATAAAATTAAGCACTACTTATTTTTTATATTGACTTCTGACATTCCCTATTGAAATAATGGAATTATTCATCCCAAGTTTAAAGAATCTACAGTACTACTTTCAAAGCCACTGTTATCCCTCATTCCATTTGATATTTATTATGATTATCATTTTGAATTTTTAGGGTTACCTACCAGCAAATATTGATAGACGAGATAGTACATTAGAACGCAAACGAGAAGAATACTTTAGTTTCATTGAACAGTACTACCACACCAGAACTGAACCACTCAATGAAGATATGTTCCGACAGGTAATAATTGTAAGATTATATGTTTATTTATTTATTTTATTTATTTAAATTATGGTTAGGCATCCAAGAGAACATCATGGTAAAATAAACAGAATAGCTAATATCTGTAAGCAATATTGAAAAATGCCTGACAATCTTGAAATCGAAAATGAGACTATTTGATTGGTTGATTAATTTGTTTATCTGTTTTTCATTGTAAGCATACTGCAACCAGTAATTTGCACATGGCTTTGAAGGATTGAATAAACGATAAGTAAACCTTCTAGGGATATGTAGTTATTCTAGTTATAAAATTTATGTATTCTACATTTCTCAGAAGTTAATTTCATTATACCGAATTCTGATGTTAGTGGTCTGTTGGGTAACAGTCTATATGCTAATTGTCGTTTTTTTGTGAAGAATTATATTATTATTGATTGTAAATTCAGGCCCTAAGGATATTCATCAATCATAATAAATTAACGAATAACCATTACCTATGCTCTCTGCAAAAGTGAATAGACAGTAAAAATGATGAATTCATATAAGAAAACATTAAAAGCAACAGTATTTAGGTTTTGAATGCTGTATTACAGATCTTTGACAATAAAAATCTTTAAATTTGATTAATAACTAATTTAAGGATCTATACTATTGATATAGGAACAGTATTATTTTATATTAATAGGCAAGGTTAATATATTCTTGTTCTAATTTTATATGATTTATGTTGTTTTTTTTTTATTAGGCTAAAACAAAAGTTTGTGTTGCTAATGCCTAACTGATCTAAAATTCCTAAAACCTTATACACAGGGGCGGATCCAGAGATGTCTAAAAGGGGGGGCCGAAATTTGGGCCGATCGAGACAACAATGTCCTAGGGGGTCCGGGTGCATGCCCCCGCGAAATTTTTGTGTTCTAGACGCCCGAAAATAACATTTGAGGCGTTGTGGGCTATCATTTTTTTCTTTTTCTTTCTTTTTTCCTTTTTTTTTTTTTTCTTTACCTTCCAAAAGGGGGGGGCCAGGGCCGGGCCGGCCCCCCCCCCTAAATCCGCCCCTGATACATGTAGAGAAGAAGCCTAAAATACTTATATAGTGATTGAAAAGGCTTAAAGCCCCATTCTGGCAAAGTTTCAGTTGTTAGGAAAAATCTAATTTTTATATATGTTATGAAAATTTATAAATATAATACGAAATTGCTAGTTTAACTGAATTCAGACATTCCTAAACATGAAAAAAATGTAAAATAAGACTGAAATTTGATTTTTTTGTGTTCCACACAAAAAATAACGCAGATGAATTTTTTATGGTTGATTTTGCAATAGGTCTGCAAAGAAATAAAGTAGGCGTCGATTTAGGTTCTGTTATCAGATGTAAAAACGGCCAACATGATATTTTCCATTGCTTGTATTGACACATGTTAAATATAATATTTCGTCGGAATTATTTCAAATTTGTTAAAAAAATTATTCTGACCATACATATCTCACGCCTACTCGATCGACCGCAGTGTGTGAGATGCGAAGTACAAAAACTAATCTCATAAGAGAGGGTGCACTTTATTGACTATATTATTAGTATACACAAAAGCAAGAGCATTCCAGCGGATGTCATCTACAACTTCTGAATTTGCCTAGAAACGAAGAATTATTGAGAAAATGGTGATCTTCGAGAATTTCTCCTTTTTTTTTTTCTTTTTCTGTAAAACTAAAATTTATGCCAATATTTTTGCATGGTTTATGATAATTAGAGAAATGCATATGTATTTTTTCTATAAAAAAAAAAAATGAAATTTTGCCGGGAATGAGGCTTTAAGCTTAATGGACCTTTCTAGAGTGTCAACAAAACAGATGACCAATCAGAACAGGGTTTTTAGGAATATACGCATGTCTAACATGTTTTAACGCTGTCATTTTGTGGGACCTTAGCAACAATATCCAAGGGGCGGGACTTAGTGGAAAGGTTTATCATTTTACCATCCAATCAAAATGCAGGAAGTGACTGATGGATGGCAATGAACTCTATGCCTATACACCATTTTCGCTAAATTTGAAATGAAAATTTCTGAGAACGTTGCAACTACTTTATAACAAGGGTATATCCAGAGGCCTAGGCATTTGTCTCTACATTAAGTAGTTAACATTAAGTGCTTACCTAAGCTGTGACTGGTGGAACAACCTATTTCTAGTGAGTTAAACCTACACTAGTCTTTGTAAATAAAATGGAAAAAAATAGTGGCACATAAAACCTGCAGTGTTTTTGGTTATAGAAGCACACAAAAGAAGATATGTCTGGAAAAAAGAAATTTGTGGAAAGGTGCTCTGGTTAGATGTCCCCCAGTGAAAAGTTGCAAAACGTTGGTGTGCTATTTCAAAATAGACCCGAAAGTGGTGTATATAAAAAAGAAAAAATTAAATTTCCACTGACTAAACATGACTTAAAAATGTCAATGTAGCAACACAAATATTTGTTTTGGCCTTTCTATAAATAATATGTGGTATTGGCCTCTGTGCAGATACACATTGATATTCCAAGGACCAACCCCCTCATTCCCTTGTTCCAGCAAGCATTAGTTCAGGAGGTAAGTGTCTGGATGGAGTCTGCCATCACAGGGTTCACCTCTGTTGTTTCTCCAAGACAAGCTGCTAATAGCCCCTTAAAGCTGAGCATTTTTTTAATTTTTTTTTTTTACAATTTTATCAACTAACATACATTATTTTCTCTTTTATATATTACTTCAGAAATATGTGAAATTGTTTATTTCTTTTTCTTAACTAGAATATATTATTCAAGCCTTGAGTCTGTTGCAAAATGTAAACCAAATTCATGATGAAATTTAGCTTGTAGACCATCGCAATTTTTCATTTTTCCATCATTTTTAACAGATTGGATATAAAAAGAATTAAAAATAGTAAGAATTGTTAAGTTATTCTTTGGCTTCAAATTTGTATCCAATTATAATTTTTTTTAATTGAATGTTGGTGATAATTTGGTTGAATCTAAATTATAATTACCTGGCAATGATTTGGTTACCATGGCAACAAATTCAAACCGTGATAATTTAGTTTTTAAAGTAGTCTAGCTATCTATTCATTTGTAGTTTGTGCTCAGAATTCCTTTCTTTGGATTTTGTTGTTACTGAACTAAAAATTGATGTTAATTTTTCTCCTGTTTAGTCTTATTTAGTAGCATTTGTCTTGGAGGAAGAATATATCCTGAACCCTATTTTTTTTTTAGCATTTTAATACAATATATATCCTACATTGAGAGCTTATTTTCTTTTTTTATTTGGTGGCGCTGTTTCCACAGATTCAGAAAGATATACCCCGTATGCCGCATCCACTGTTACGTGAAGTGCTTGTGCAAGAGGTAAATGTTACGTCCTGTTGTGGTACCAGTGTTGGATTTAGAGGAGGAGGATGGGTTGCTTAGCAACATTAAGGGTGTTGAAAGACATTTAAACAAAAATTTAAGATCTTAAAAATATAAAAACCAACAATTTCTCAGACTAAACTAGTCTTTTTTAATCCATTTAATTAATTTCTTATTTGTCTTACTAGTTTTGTCTTGTGTACTTGTACTAATATTTATTTTATTCTATTATTTGTCTTGTTATAATTATCAACATAATGTGGAACATTTTCTTATGAAATCTAACATTTATATTGTCATGTTGGTAATGTGTGTTATTTTATTCACCATTAATTATTTTCGTGCCATGGCCAGTCATGTTCTAAAACTTTATTGATACAGCAGTGTTGAAACTAGGTATTCTGACATTTGGACTAACTTTTGGCCTAATAACCTTAGGATTAAATAATCTGATGGCAATTACATGAAATAAATAAATAAATAAAATAAATAAATAAATAAATTGACATTGGTTTCCCAACCTTGAGGTTGTGCAATTTGCTTGTGTTGTGGAGCAAGCCACTTCATTTCTTCATTGTATAAATGGGTATCTTGTAGGGTTGCCTGCAACAAGCAACACTATTTGTTATGTAACTTCAAAAGCTATAATTGTGTAATGTCTGTTTTTCTAGCTCATGTCAAACAGTACATCTTTAAAGTTTAATATAACTTAACATGAAAAGATTTTTTTATTCTTAATAAGTAACAACTGTACTGTCTTTCTTTCTAAAAAATTGTGAATGTGAATTTTCTTAGTCTTTTTTGTTGTTTTGTTATAGTTGTTTGTGTTTTGTATTATATTAATCATAACCATCTTTGTTTCAAATTGTTGACGCTGCGTTCTTTGTGAAACGCCAAATAAACACTCTGTATTAAATACTAATGTAATAAGCAGAATTATTTTCTGGTTAAAATATAAAAAAAATTGTTTTAAATTCTAATCCCTTTTAATAGAATATGTAATGTTTATATTGGCTGTTTCAATGTATTTGCTTGGTCCTGATGCATAAATTCTATTTTTTGGATTTCTCCATCCATCATTCCTTAGTTCTGTGTTTTTATTCTCTGCCTGTCCCTACTTCCTTATTTTGCAATCTTCCCATGTATTTGTCACTTACCTGTCACTCCGCTCCCCTTATTGTTGTCCCTCCCTTTATCCAGCACTGGTTAAGGCTCGCAGGACACCGCTGCTGTGCATTAACATACACCTTTTGCATGCTTACGTTAATGCTTCGATGGCCATTTTTTTTCAATTGGTAATATTTATGTTATGCATATTGTGATTAAATTTCACTTTTTTACAGTATTTTCTTCTATATTTATTTTGGTTACTTTTGTCATAACATATTATCAGGTACAATTACGAAGGATTTGAGAGTGTTAAGTATGATTGGGGTAAAGCATGACAATGAAGAGGATAATGATGATGATGATAACAATGTTTCTGATGATGATGTTAGTGTACCATATGAGGCATGCCAACCGAAAACCAGTGTACACTCACTATAAATGTTAAACTGTGAAAGTAGCCTAATTGTCAGTATTATATATATTAATACAGAGAAGGCATAATACTTTCACTCATAAATTTAACAATAGTAAGTCAATTCCAGTAAATGACACATCATTTTAAAGCTTATATTGTGGAGAATATGAATATATTAAAAATGAATTTTCATTTTTTGGTCACTTATGCTGGGTTGGCGATGGCAAGCCCCACATGTCACAATATCCTCGCTGCTAATGAATAGAATATTAAAGCTCAGTTCATACTATCAAATGTTATGTGACAAATATCTGTGATTTACCCATAATCACTGATACTTTTGACATAAAAACTATGTGGACAGAGTTTAAGATGTGGAGCAATGAAAAATGATTGCTGTGACATTGATGATAATGATGTGATATTTGAATTTGGACATTGGATGATTTCAGAAGAATGATGAAGAAACAGTAACTAAAAAAAGGGAACAATGATTGAATCAAAAATGGTATAACATGAAAAAGTAAACAAGTGGATAAGTAAAAGAAATAAGAAAATGTAGAGTAATGATAATTTTTTTTCCTGTTTTTTGGGTTCTATTTTCTGGTAGAGGGATATTTTTATTATATTGTCTTGGATCATCCAGGAAAAATACTATAGTATCTGTCACCCTAGCTTTACAAATATTATTTTGTTGAATATCATTTCAAGTTTAATCATTCTTTCATTTTATTATAAATTCTATTTCTTATGGAAGTAGTATAGTTGGTAATTTCAGGTTATAGTCATGCTTGATATAAATCACTTTTTGAAACCATTTCTTCAAATTCTATGTTATGAATTCATTAGGCAGATTATTCAAGTGGATATCCTTAGAAATATAATGGAACAATCCACTCCACTTATGCCTCTGCAATTAGGTCACATGGTATTATATAAATACAGTATTAGGATTATATTTATAAAAATTTGATAATACTATTTATATTTTGAATGATTTTTATAGATTTTTGAAAGGATTTTATACATCTGGGCAATCCGTCATCCAGCCAGTGGTTATGTTCAGGGAATCAATGATTTAGTAACACCATTCTTTGTAGTATTTTTGTCTGAATTCTTAGGTAAGTACTTGCAACATTATGATTGTCAATTTTTTTTTTTATTTACTTATTACTTTAGGTAATTAATTTTTTTTTGTTAGTGTGAGCCAGTCCAGTAATTAGAGTTGTTTTGCATACAGGTATTACACTTTACATATCAATCCTAGTTTAGATTTAGATGTACAGTATTAAATATGTTATGGCTGTAAAACAACTGAATTTTGAGAAGTTTACAATAATAAATTGCATTAAACCGAGGCTGTGAAGTAATAATAATAATAATAACTTTATTTAAAACACGGAAAACTTGGCTCAACTAACAGTTGTTATTCTGCAAGGCTGTGTATACAACAATTTAACCAGAAAATCAAAAGAAAAAAAAAAGAAAATAAAAAATGTAAATCAAACAATTGTTTAAACATTCAAATATCTTAACTAACTTAATTACACTAAACAAACTCGAACAAAACAAAAATACTGTAGTTTATGTAAGAAACTACCATAAAGGTGTTAACAGTTAAGTGTTATTATAGTGTCGCAATTATATACCTTTTAAATAAGGACAAATTCTTAACATTTTTAACATCATCGCTAATTTCGTAATAAAAATCCTTGCGGGTGTAACCACAAATTTCCTCCCTGTTTTTTTGTCAATATTGTATGTATTCTGAAGACAAAGTAAAATGAAACACTGATTACCATGGTTTTGTATAATCTTTGCAGGTGATAATGTAAAGAGTATTGAATCTTATGATGTGAAACAGCTAGACCCTGGGAAGCTACGGGTAATAGAAGCCGACACATTTTGGTGTATGAGTAAACTGTTGGATGGTATCCAAGACAACTACACATTTGCACAACCAGGAATTCAAAAGAAAGTTAAACAACTAGAAAACTTAATCAAAAGAATAAATGGTAAAAATATTAGTTACAGTACCAGTAATATTAATTATTATATACTGTACCACTAAATGTGTTCTCCTAAAAATAACCAAACGGAGAGACTGTATTTTTTACATTCTGGTCACACACAAGGTCCCAAACTAGAAGAAGCATTTCCTGAAGGTGATTTTGCTGTGCATGCCAGCTGATCTCAGGGAGACAATAATATGTTAAAACAGGCAATTTGCGAGAGATAGGTTAGTTTCTGGAAGATTATTGCTTACACATGGGAGCATGTGAGGCCGCCCTGATTACAACAGACTTCCAAAAGAACTTTTTCCACATTGTAATGGCCATTTACACATAGCAGATATATTTACCCATGGTCATAATTTGGGTATTTAAATTGTGAAAATCAGTGTAATTTAGACAAGGTAAAAAGTAATCTAATGCCAACAACAAATTTACAACATTTTAACATAATTAAATTTTCTCAGCTCATCTTCAGAAACACCTTGAACATAATTTAGTGGAGTATTTGCAGTTTTCGTATCGTTGGATGAATAATCTGCTGATGAGGGAGCTACCACTTAATTGTACGATACGTGTTTGGGACACGTACATGGTAAGAAATGCACATAATTATAAGTTTGTAAGTGAAGCAGTATTTTAAGCAAAATGCACAGCAAAGGTTTCAAACACCAAAACTCAATGCTGAGCAGCTAGCTCTGTTGGCTAATCTGGTGGTAGCCACTGTGTGTGTGCTGAACCGTGGAGATCTCTAGGTCCCCGGTTCAATCCCATCGCTGCTCTCCTTGTGTTTCAGCTGGAGGGCTGAAATGCAAGTTTTAGAAGTGCACTATCTTTCAGATGAGACGTTTAAGCCGTTATTCCTGTGTGTAAAATGGCCCATGTGCAGGCTTAAGAACGCAGTATACTCTTCAGCAAAGAGTAGGGGATCGTCGCTTGGTGTACTGCCCAATCACCAACAGAAGGACCCCACTGGAAATAAGTCTTCTTCAGACTTTCGTAGGTTATCCTTGTTGTTCACATCAAATAAATCCATCCATCCAAACTGAAACCACTGTGCCAACTACATCCACATATGCATATGCATATAAATGCACAATTACAATAATTATAACAATAATGTTGGCCCATTTACTAAATATTACATTAACTTTGATGCATTTAACAATGGAAAAACGTAACTAAACCCTTTGCCGAGACACAGGTGCTCATAAGGCTGGAGTTTCTGTAGCCTGAAGTGGATAAGAATGTGCTGCTTCCCCCTGGTGGGTCGCTAGACCTCCGTAGTTTACTCCCAGCAATTTGTTGGTGTCCATACAGCAGGGTAGACTGAAGCAATGTAGGTAAAGTGCCTTTCTCAAGAACACAAGTGAATTGCACTATGAAGGATTGAAACCCCGACCACAAGTTTGGGAAACTGTTTCCACTGCACCAAACCGCTTATTAAAGATTATTTTTTTCCATTTACAATTTTACGCTGTTTTTTTAGAGCGAACCAGATGGATTTGCTGAGTTTCACTTGTACGTTTGTGCTGCATTTCTTCAAAGGTTCTCTAAAGAAATTCTCGAGCAAAAAGATTTCCAGGTGAGAATCAATTGAAATTCAATAATTTAAAGTCATCATGTCTGTTGAGATATGTAACTTCACAAGTAAAATTTAACAATTTGAATTGCTTTTAGAATGAGAAAAAAAAATCCTGCAAATTAACAGACACAGTAATATAGTTCCTATATTTTTGCATATACAATAAATCCTTTAAGTTAGATAAATAATTTGTGTAGTAAACAGTTTGTAAATAGGCAAAAACTGAATTGATTTAATGTGTGTTTAATGTCATCTTTTTTAATGAGCAAATAAACTGTTGGCATTTTCCCCAGATTTGACCTCAGATAGTATATCTTAAATTGTACTCCGTATTAACCTACAGATTATCTTACAAAAGAAGCCATATTTTGGTGGGTGACATCCCATCTTCTAACCTTGAGCCATGTATTAGAAGATGTATAACAAATTTTTACAAATTAATTGATGCCTATCATAACATAAATACAAGAAGTAAATTGAAAATGATTTTGGAAAAACAGCTTTTAAATATCACTCAGTTAAATTATGGAATAATCTATCATCAGATACTCATGGCAATATTAATTCTCTTTCCTTACAATCCTTTAAAAATTTCATTTAATTTACCCATTTGTTTTTCTTTTCTGTTTCTTGTATTTATATAATTTATATACATTTTCATACATCTTTCTTTTAATTTTGTTTTGTAATTTAATGTAATTTAAGATTATACCCTGGACCTCAGGGAAGAACAGTGTAACAATACTGACTGAGTGTCCAGAATAAAGAAAGATTTCTATCTATCTTTCATTATGCCAAGCTATCTAAACTATGATGCACTAATGCATTGTTGCATATTGGAAATCTAATCAGAAAACGATTCATGATTTATTTTCGGTCATGTCATAGTTCATAGATAATTAGCATAATGGATCCAGATTACATGTCATCTCCAAATTAACAGAAACTAATAACTATGAACCCACAGTATAAATATATTCTCTTGATGTTTGTCTTTTGCAGGGAATTTTGCTACTGTTACAAAATTTACCAACATCAAAATGGGGCGAGAACGAAATTGGACTTTTACTAGCCGAAGCTTATAGTTTAAAATACGTATTTTCAGGAGCACAAAACCATCTGACACGGAGTAAATGAGATCATTATTGATGTATATATGAGAGATACAATTATTGTAGATTGTGCTTGTACACAAGAAGAGGATTTGTCACAAATGAATGTATGTTATTTGGAACAACAGCTGAGCATTTCTAAACCAAAGACAGTATGCATGAAGGTGTAGACAGGTTGCTTATACTACTATTGCAATAGACCTCTCAATCAAACTTGACAACTGACCAATCAGAACAGCATCAAGAATACACCCATGTCCTACATACACATGTGTTGTCCCATGTTTGCGTATGTTTTTTGAAACTTGTTTCATGGGACTTGGCTAAGCAGAATGATCCATTGTTGTATCTTGTTACTAGGCCCACTGAAATGTATAGCTCCATGTTACCATGGTTACAAAGCATAGGTTCAGTGATCTCCTCTTGCCTGGAATTCCTGACAAGCTGTGAAACCTCCAAAGTTGCCAAACGTGAGCCTTTCACTATTTTTGTTCTTCACTGTTAAAAGTCCTTAAGCTCTGTCAGCACTATCAAATTTCAAAAAACTGTTGTATGCCCATATATAGTCATGATGTGCCTATGTATGGTCATGATCTGATGTCATCATGACCATATTTAGGCATGTCACATGTTTTTGCCAAATTAAAATTTGATAGTCTGGCTAGGGTTTAAAGTCATAAATTATCATAGTACATATTTTTTTTTTATAGGAATTTTAATACCTAATAATTTATACTCTAATCTGTCTGCATTATGTTCACCATTTGTGTGCTGATGTTAAATGTGAGACCCAAAAGAATTGAGGCAGCTCAGAAAAATAGTTTGAACTGGCTTTAGTATGATATGAGTTTATGAGTTATGAATGGCACTGCTATACTCAATACATGGAGTGGAGTGGCATAGCTTAGTGGTTAAGATACTTACCTTCTAATCCCAGGGTCTTATTCCCATTCTTGTGACAGCAGGACTGAGGGCTTTTCTCACGACAAAAAACGACTCAACTCCCCTAAGCCTATTAATGGGACTTCGCTGATAAAAGCATCACATTATTTCATTTATTTACAGAGGGCCCCTGAACATCAGCACACCTTCTAGGATACGCTGGAAGGGTTACCCTCTATAAATATGGAAGAGAAAAAAAAAACAGAAGATAAGCAAAACTTATAAAATCATTTATGAAGGCAATTCACATGGGTTAATTATATATTATAGACAGGATGCAAATTACATTTATTTTAAATATTTCATTTACATATTTTGGTTTTTCATTCATGTAATTTTTTTCAAAATATGAAACATTAAAATTATTATTTAATCTAATTTTTTTAATCAATAATCATCGTGTTCCTATGTATTTAAAAAACGGCTGTGAGAATTCTTCATCTATTATGTCATTTATTATTAAATTGATGTCAAAACAGTAATTGAAGTATTATTTCCAAGTTAAATACAAATTATTTAAATATATTCAAATTAAATTCTCAAAAAATAAAGGTGAAAATGATGTAGTATACATGTTTAAATGTATTTTACATCTATGTTACTTTTTGTTCTGTTTTTAATAATTTTTTTTAGATTTCTGTAAATAAATTAATATTCTTTGTTAAAAAGCATATTTACGTTACTGGTATTTGTTAGTAATATCATTATTTTACTGATATATAATTATTAAAATATTTCCACTTATCAACTGTACTGGTTGTTAGGCTGTGTTACTAATTTTTGCCAATAATATTTGAAGGAAAAAACAACCATTAATCATAGTCTTGTCAGTGTTTTAAATGTTAATTGTTTTATGGCCAACATAATATAGCATCGTATGACACAGCCCAACACAATTTATCGTTCCATTGTGTATGTGTGAGTTAAATGTAGACGCGATAAGTCGTCATAAGACTCAGACGGAGACAGGCGTGTCGTGGACACAACAAACTATGACTTGCCTGACGATATATAATCTTGGGCTGCGTCGTACAACGCTGGCTGCGTTGGCCATTGTACATGTACCATATAATCTTGTGATATGTTTTGTTAATACAGTATGCAACCAAAATCAACAACTCTTTTTGACCAGAGGCCTTTTCCAAAAATCGGTAGACATCTTAAAGTGATGACAAACAGCCCATGGAAGTGGTGCGTAACCAACAGAAATAAGATAAGCTTTGAGGCTGAATTCTTGTCCTCATGTTATCTAAAAATTCATAATTCTAAAACAGAGGGTCGTATCACATTAATTTTTTCTGGAAAATGTTCTCAAAAGACTATTCTGCACCACTATATGATTGAAAAAAAAATTGAAAAAATGTTTTTGACCTCTGAAATCAAGATGGAAAAAGAAAAGCCTATCTATGTAGTGTATTAAAATAGGCCTATGCATTACAGTGCAGAAGCATAGTACTTTCGTACAGTTTCTGTTCCAGGTACCGATAATATACTTTTATTAAAAAGTACAAGTTATGTTTTTAAAGAAGTATAGTATAGTAAATCATGTTTTTAAAACTGGAAACTCTCATGGTAATTATTAAAGCAATGCTAGAAAAAATTAATGTGTACAACCCTCCGTTATGGAGTTATGAATTTTTAGATAACATGAGGACAAGAATTCAGCCTTAAAGCTTATCTTATTTCTGTTGGTTACACACCACTGACTTGGGTAGTTTGTCATCACTTCAAGATGTCTACCGATTCGTAGAACAGGCCTTATCCAGTTTCTAGTAACAGCTAATATTTTCTGAAGAAATTGCTAAAGGAAATAACACATCCTTATATAAAAAAATAGGCTCCTGTTAGGTGCTTGAGTATGCTGCATGAAGTAGGTCAACATTACTGTACTCTAAACACAGCTATCAGCCATTGGTCATCTCAAAGCACCACAGCATGAACTGAAATTAACCCACATTCCATTTTACACAGGAATGTCAATACCACAGTATAGAGTATATCAATGTGCACAGTATACTAAAAAAATTACAGTATGCATTAATTTATCTACCGATACTTAAGTCTATTGCTGCATTGTACCAAATAGAGGGCGCATGTGTTCATTATTTTTGGTATTAAGTGCATTGTAATAATCTTATTGTACAGTATTATTTATATTAATTTTAAACCAATTTTCTTCACTCTGATAATTAAATCAGTTATTACAGTACCCTATTTTCCTGTTATTCTTTTTCTATATACGCCATTTATTATTCTGTTTCATGTCATTTATTAATTTATATTGCAAGAAAGAAAAATAAATTCCTGTTTCCAGTATTGAATTGCATTTAGAATGGTCTTCCTCTATGAATTAAATGGCATGTAAAATACATACATAATAAGATTTTAGGTTTAGGTCAAAATCCAGCAAGCTGTGGAGTCCATAGGGAGGGGTATGCCCTTTACTGTAACTTGACAGTGTAATTTACTAAATATTCCTTTGTATTCCCTATCAATGCAGGTAATACCATGGGTGGGTTTATGCCAAGGAGGAAACCATCGTAAAATGTTTATGCATTGAATATAATATATGCTTATATTAATAGTAATTATTTAGCTATTTGTATTATTTCATCTATTTTTTCATCTATTTATAATATATTGTACATATGTGGGTAATGAACCAATACCTAAAATCCTTTGAATTATGTATGGGTTATCTTTCCTTGGTAGTAAGCAGTTCATTTAATTTGTATAGTTAGCACCTGTGCAGGGGCAGATCCAGAGATGTCCAAAAGGGGAGCCAAAAAGGGGCTGATAGAAACAACACTACCCTACAGGGTCCGGGCCGCACGTCCTTCAGGCGACAGTGGTTTTTCCGCTTTTGTGACTCCTGTGCCGTCATGCCAAATGAATAAAATAAAAAATAAATAAAAGTTTTGTTTTCTAGTCGCCTGAAAATAACCTCTAGAGCATTTTGGGCGACCAATTTTTTTTTCTTTTTTTTTACTTTCCAAAAGGGGGTAGGGGCTAGGTCCAGCCACCCCCCCCCCCCCCACTAAATCCGCCCCTGCTGTGTACAAGCATACTACGTGGTATAATCATATTTTTTAAAAGAAAATTTAGTAAAAATATACCTTTACTATACAATGAATAAACTTACAATGATGCACAGATTAAAGGCCTGTTTATACTTCAACGAATACGATAAAAAAGCTAAAAAGCGATTGTTCATATGGAAAACAAAAGAAATAAGAGAAGTTTTTACACTAGGACAATTTAATAATGATTTATTGTGTATATGATAACAAAATATTGTAAAAAATCAAATCAGATGACGTCATAATCATGGAAAAAAGATAAAATCGCTGCTACTGCTACGATTTTAATGTTTTCCCATGATTATGACTTCATCTGATTTGATTTGTAAAAATATATTGTTATCACATAACTGATAAATAGTTATCGAATTGTTCTGGTGTAAAAACTTCTCTTATTTTTGTTTAGCTTTTTTATCGTTATCGTTGAAGTATAAACAGGCCTTAAAAGTAATGATTGTCCACTAATTCAGAAACCTTTTTACTACAAAAATTGTTAAATTTAGCAGCAGCCTATTTACAGTTAGGTACTCGATGCGCAGCGACGGTCATTGTCTGATGCGATTATGTGGAGAACGCAACGCCATGACACGCACAACAGATTGATTTTAATGACGATCTGTTCAGAGTGTCACTGACAGCAGATGGCGTCATGGGGAGCAACACTGAATTTGTCGGCCGATGATCGTACAACGTCGTAAGAAGCAGCGAGTGCCAGGCTTATACAAATACAATGGGTATTATTTATGTCTGTTGTCTTCATTGGATTTTTTTTCTCATTTTTCAATTAAAATCTGTTTACTTACTGGTACATATAAAAAGCAATTCAAAATACAGTAGCATATTTTTTAGTGTTTATACATCATATCTTTAACAGGATCTTTTACTTTAGTGTATCTAAGCAATAATGTTCTCCAAGAAGAATGTATAAATGTATTGTTATTTCTTATTGTGGTATATATTAACCAGTGGCTGTAGTTGTTAAACCACTTTTAAACAAATTCCTAGATCAGTTTGGATGTTTGTTTCAAACCTGTAGCCAGGGATTTTGGTGGTTTTTCTTTACCAGAAATACCCTTATAAATTTATAGTAAAAAGTGCCATTTGCATGAAAGTTGTTAAAATTAAAAACATTTGAAAGTGCCATTTCTGGATATCTGAGTTGTTATATCCTTAAAAATGTTCCCTAAAGCTCAAAGGCATATCACATGTTCTTGTGAAATAAAATTTGATAGGACTTATCACTTTATTTGACAAAAACATTTGATTTCATATCGTGACTATATACAGAGCTGTACCATGATGGGGCTGAGATAAGTGTGTACTCAGAGTTCCCTTTTGTGAAAAATTAGAACCACCATTAGTAACTTGGACAATAACATCCAATTGGATTTAGGAATTCATTTAAGACTGGTGTAACTATAGCCACTTCCAACAAATTAAGGTTCCATAATTTTTTTTTTATATTAGGTGTCCTCTTCTGTAGTGTCATCTGAAGGGGCTGACGGGTGGGGATTCTTGGGAAGAACAATTAAAAACTTGGTTCTGAGAAGTAGTGCTAAAACGCACAATCCGTTTGCTCTTGGAGGAGCATGTCATAGTTTCCTGTTCGAAATGACAGGACGAATGGTTGTAACAATGTACATCAGATGTTTCCTTGTATAACGTGTTAATGTATATGTATATAGATTGTATTTAGAAAGAACATATTTACATTATTATAAAAATGACTAAAAAATAAAAACAACACTAGAAAAAAGAAGTAATATATTTGCGTATTTGTTAATGTATGTTCAGTTTTTAACTAAATGTACAGTATACACTTGCTAGCACACCCCTACAATGACCCAGACACATGCCTACATTAAATCCCACCAATTACATTGACTCGACAAAATCTCATGCGAATGAACTTTTTGAACTTGGGACCCCTGCACAAAATATTGTTTTTGTTAGTCTTTGTTTTCAACAGGAAATGGTGTTCGTAATCATATACATTCCCCTTCCCCATCCCCTTTTGGGAGGTGAAAAAAGAAAGAAAAAATGATAGCACAGAACGCTTTAAATGTTATTTTTGGGTGTCTAGAACACAAAAATTTCGCAGGGCATGCCCCTGGAACCCCGTAGGAAATTGTTGTCTCGATCGGCCCAAATTTCGGTCCCCCATTTCGGGCCCCCCCTTTTGGACATCTCTGGATCCGCCCCTGACCTTGCATTTCAAAAAGTGCACTTTAAATCAAAACAAGAAAAATATATACTCAGTAACCAACAGACACATTTCACACCCATACACAGTAGCAGCACTTGTAGGAGGTCAGGGTAAATTGCCTATCAAGCATGGACCCTTGTTTGAGACCACTTGAGGCTCTTGAATTAAAAATACTTGTCTATCAATAATTATTTATTTAAATTTTATTATGACTATTTCAATTATAATGATTATTATGATCAATGCCATAGCTAGCTATTGGGGCAGTCCCACACAATTTTTCTGTTGGGTCCACAAAGAATGGGTCCACATTTAAAAAATGGGTCCATATTTCACATATTTTGTGTACAATGGGTCAATTTTTAAGAAATGGGTCCAGATTATTCATATTTTTGTGTAAAATAGGGAAAAATGGGTCCACATTATTTACTTAAAGTGGGTAAAGTAAAGTGGGTCCACCATGATATTGCCCCACACAGTTTGGAAATCCTGGCTATGGCATTGATTATGATTATTATTGGCATTATTAC